AAGGTTCTCGAGGAAGGTCTTGGGCGCGAACTTGGGACAGGGGACTCTCCGCATCAGGATGACGAACGCAAGGACTGGAAGGACGCTCGGCGGGCGGACTTATATGGTGGAGACGGCCTTGCGATAGCGGCGTCCACTGATAGGTGCCGGCCGGCCTTGGGACCTCCAGCCTGGACTGGCAGTACAGCTCTGTTGGCCGCCTGCTCGGATATAGACAGAACATGGAGAATTGGCGATTAAGGGCTGCTTGGTGAAGTAGAGTATAGACAGAACACGGCGGAATGACAATTAAGGCCTGCTCGGTGAAGTCGGCTACTGAAAGAACATGGAGGAATTAAGATAAATCATTGAAATAGATACTCATGGGGACAAAACTTAAGCAATTAGAATGTCTTTAATATCGCCGGTCGTCTGTTTCTTTCTTTTTTTTTTAGAAGTATACAGAGGTTGTTCACACTTGGTTATCTCGTGTGTCTTCAATAAAGGTTACTGTAATATCTTTCAGAGTTATTGTATGAATCCCGATATACATGCTGAAAGGTACAACTTCCTTAAGTTTTGTCCATGAGTGTATATTGGTTATCTCGTGTGTCTTCAATAAAGGTCACTGTAATATCTTTCAGAGTTATTGTCTGAATTCCGATATACATGGTAAAAGGTACAACTTACTTAAGTTTTGTCCATGAGTGTATATTGGTTATCTCGTGTGTCTTCAATAAAGTTCACTGTAATATCTTTCAGAGTTATTGTCTGAATCCAGATATACATGCTGAAAGGTACAACTTCCTTAAGTTTTGTCCATGAGTGTATATTGGTTATCTCGTATGTCTTCAATAAAGGTCACTGTAATATCTTTCAGAGTTATTGTCTGAATCCCGATATACATGCTAAAAGGTACAACTTCCTTAAGTTTTGTCCATGAGTGTATATTTGTTATCTCGTGTGTCTTCAATAAAGGCCACTGTAATACTTTCGGAGTTATTGTCTGAATCCCGATATACATGTTAAAAGGTACAACTTCCTTTAGTTTTGTCCATGAGTGTATTATAAAGACATTAGTAAGGACATGTAGAGTTTTTTACAAGTCCCGTGACTACACACTCACACACACCTGAGACTCTAACAAACACACTACTTTAACTAGTCTGAAGACTTCCATCAACAGAGTCCTTCTCCAGACAGTGAAGGTCTACCTGAACTTCTTCACCCCATATATGGAAATTTTGCCGGGAGGATACTGATCCATAAAGATAAATAATACAATATAATACGGATATGATTATTGTACTACGTTTCACGAGTTTTACCGCAAATGTTTCTTTTTACAGAACGAAAAATCGTAATTTATTTTAAGGAGAAATAACGACTATTCCTATCCTTAGGGATCAATTATGAAAATATGAATTGTGAATTGTGAACTCTTCACAATTCATCCTTTCATACTTCATCCCTAAGGTTAGAAATAATCGTTATTTCTACTTAAAAAAATAAATTTCGATTTTTCGTTCAAAAGAAACACATGCGGGATAATTTTCAAATGTTGTTTTACAGGTGACCTCTATCTTTATAGATTTTATAAAGTTTATTGAGGCAGGCCGATCTGGGGATAGGATGGTGTAATTAACCAGAATCTCTTCCACCGGCCTGTCAGCACGGAACCCTCCACTTGGCATGTGGTGGAATGACAGTGAGAAAGATACAAAGAGAAACCCAATAAAAGATAATCCATTGAAACACCGATTTTTAATTTTATTTAAATTTTTATTGATATCCGTCAATAGAAAACACACTTTAGCTGAAAAGCCAAAATGATGAAAAGTGGAAAAGAGAAGAAATGTTGTTGTCGTGTCCAATGAAGAGCCTCAGATGTCTCCATACATCTCTATCACAGCAATGTTCTCTATCTTGGGTGTGTAGAGCTGCTGCTCTGGGTCCATGTTGATTTTCTGTTGTTGTCGTCGTGTCCAATGAAGAGTCTCAGATGTCTCCATGCATCTCTATCACAGCACAGCAGCAATATCCACTATCTTGGGTGTGTAAAGCTGCTGTTCTGGGTCCATGTCAACTTTCTATTGTTGTTGTGTCCAATGAAGAGCCTCAGATGTCTCCATACATCTCTATCACAACAATGTCCTCTATCTTGGGTGTGTAAACCTGCTGTTCTGGGTCCATGTCAATTTTCTGTTGTTGTCGTCGTGTCCAATGAAGAGTCTCAGATGTCTCCATGCATCTCTATCACAGCACAGCAGCAATATCCACTATCTTGGGTGTGTAAAGCTGCTGTTCGTGGCCCATGTTGATTTTCTGCAAGGTTGCGGCCATTGCTGGACATGAGAATATGTGGGTAGGTGTTAGTTCCACACCAGAACAGTTGTTACATTTCCTATAGGTTCTTGTGCCATCTGGATGTATTGTCATTCCTTTATAGTGTTTTGTTCTAAGTCTTGTTATAGTTTTTGTCAGTTTTTTCTCAAGAGAAGAAATGAAATTCAAATATCAAGCAAGCCAGGAAAAACCTCTCCATAAACAAGATTCCCAAAGCCCAAAGATTCCAGACCTAGACACATTGATACCATAACATGATTTTGATTTAATTGTGAATGAATTGCACATACCCCCACCATCTGTTGGCTTAGTTAAGCTGCTGTTCTGGTTTTACATTTTGAAACGTTTGGTGATTGCGACTTTGTCTTCCTAGACTCAGGGACAAATTGGCTCCACATTTAGCCTCATTTCAGAAAAGTTATTATCCATTATTGTAAATATGAAGAACTGGTTTGTTCTTTTTGTTATTATTTATATTATTTTGAACTGGAGCACACCTTAATATGGAGAGGGTATAAAGTTGGAAGACAAAGAAACTATAAATACATGTGTTATGTGTGATCAATATAAGATCAATAAAAGGATAACATGGATTAACCGAAACACTTTAATAAGACCGGTACAATCTTTCGAACTTAAATCTTCTTCCACTGGTACAGACGTCTCAAGAACAAATATCCACTGGTACACTCATGGACAAAACCTAAGGAAGTGGACAGTTTTTGATGTCCCCGGTCGTCTATTTTTTTTTTGACGGATATAGAGACAATTTTGTTTACACTTAATTTTCTCGTGTGTCTTCAATAAAGGTCACTGTAATATCTTTCAGAGTTATTGTTTGAATCCCGATATACATGCTAAAAGGTACAACTTCCTTAAGTTTTGTCCATGAGTGTACATTGGTTATCTCGTGTGTCTTCAATAAAGGTCACTGTAATATCTTTCAGAGTTATTGTCTGAATCCCGATATACATGCTGAAAGATACAACTTCCTTAAGGTTTGTCCATGAGTGTATATTGGTTATCTCGTGTGTCTTCAATAAAGGTCACTGTAATATCTTTCAGAGTTATTGTCTCAATCCCGATATACATGCTGAAAGGTACAACTTCCTTAAGTTTTATCGATGAATGTATATTGGTTATCTCGTGTATCTTCAAAAAAGGTCACTGTAATATCTTTCAGAGTTATTGTCTGAATCCCGATATACATGCTGAAAGATACAACTTCCTTATGTTTTGTCCATGGGTGTATATTGGTTATCTCGTGTGTCTTCAATAAAGGTCACTGTAATATATTTCATATATATTGTCTCAATCCCGATATACATGCTGAAACTTCCTTAAGTTTATTTAGTCCATGAGTGTATCTATATAATTGTAAAGTTCACAATAAGAATTGAGAGGGATCTATGCAATACGGTGTTGACGAAGAGAAACTCAGCAGTGTGGTTCCTTACATTCCGTGAAGAGATATCTTAGAAAACCGTCAAGAAACAGAAAACTTCTAAGAGACCTTTGATCTTTGAGAAAATCTCCTCAGGGAAATCTCCATCCCACCTAAGGAGGATCCTAATCCTCACAGCTAATCCAAGCCAGGTATTGGTGGTAGATATAGGAATAACACTAATGTCTGAAATAATAGCACAAAACTGAAACTGTACTGCGATCAGGAGGATCTCTTGATCATGCAACTCAAATTTGCCGATGACTTGCACGATGGTATGTCATTGCCCCTCTAGCACGTTATAAATTCGTTTTAAATACTCGAATTACAGGTTATATAGAGAGTATATACAATAAAATCCTAAATAATTGCAATCAGATATTCAATGAATGAAAGGAAGAAAAAATTGCAACGAGTTTCTTTATTCTGAATGTTGACGAGCTTTCAGGCGTTAGCCTATCTTCAGGCCGATTTATATATATTTTTTTGCGAAATCGGCCTGAAGATAGGCTAACGCCTGAAAGCTCGCCAAATTCAGAATAAAGAAACTCGTTGCAATTTTTTCTTCCTTTCATTCATTGAATAGAGAGTATATGTGCATTAAATAAATTAAGAGACGTCATAAAGATAGAGGCTGCCTGGCCGGAATTCATAGTTCTTCAAAATAAAGATACTTCGACCAGTAAATCTTTTTATTGTCTCGACGTTTCGACAAAAATATTTTGTCCTCGTCAGGAGCGAAAAAAAGTTAAAACATTTTGCAAGGCGCTAAAAAATATAAAATATAAAGAATAATTTTTAACGCCTTGCCAAATTATTTTTGTTCGCTCCTGACAAGGACAAAATATTTTTGTCGAAACGTCGAGACAATAAAAGATTTACTGGTCGAAGTGTCTTTTATTTGAAGAATTAACAGAAGTGTCATTTAGAGTTTTGTCTCTTTTAATTTTCTACGTGTAACAAAATGTACATAGGTATATTGTAGTATAAGGTGTATAGAAAATATAGCTTTCAATTATATATATCCTTGCCACTTCCTTTGTCTATAAGTCTGGTTAGTACTTTAAGTTTGGTTTGGCAGAGTGTATCTAGATAGGTCAGACCAGCTGAATATTACCCTTGAATTAGATCCGTTCAATCTACTTATATAATTGCCTTATTCTGTCTGTGTGAAGTTCACTGTGTGAAGTTCACGGATAGATTTTGATCAGAATGGATAAAATAAAAAAAGTGTCAAGGGATGGGAATCGAACCCACGACCTTCCGCTTACCGGGCAGATGCCATGGATGCCATGACCACTAGGCTACCCTGGACATATTTTTCCGTTCATAAAGTTAATATATGACTTTACTATGCAGATTTCTATTTAGTCAATATACCTAAGTTAATTTTGCAAATGTAATTATCTCTATCGATTTAGTAGGTGAAATGCAAAAAAAAAAAAAAATCGACATGATGAAATCTTTATGAAAATTCACATTTTTATTTTTATATTTTCAAGACACACACAGTTTGGGGCGGGACGTTTCACAAGAGAGACATCCACGGCGCCAATTTATAATTGTAACGAATAGTATTTTAAATTTTATTGCCCTCTATCGTTAAAATTTTACACAAATAAATTTACTGGCAATGCGTTTCTTTTTTTTTTTTTTTAAATCTCTACAGACCTTACTGCAATGATATGATTTAATGAATGAGAGGGCTTGGCTCATCAGTAGTGAACCCTCTCAGCGGTTTCGCCAAATTAATCTCTAGACCGCTCTACTATTGTATTGGACTGGTTTTGTTATATACCCTGCATTTTCTATGGAAGGCAGCTAAATGGTGTTTAGTGAACTATGGACATAAGCTTATAGGTCTGTAGAGGTACATACATATAAATTTCAAGGTATTGCATCGAGCAAAGCTCTTCCGCGCAAAACATGTTTTCATAACCATTATATATTAGTAAATTAAATTTTATTGCCCTCTATCGTTAAAATTTTACACAAATAAATTTATAAAACTATTTTAGTGGCGTATTATTCTTTTTAAAATAAAACAATTTCTACTGTCCTTACTGCGATGAAAAAATTAAAGGGAGGGCCTGGCTCATCAGTGGTGAACCCTACCAGCAGTTTCGCCAGTTTAGTACATCATAACAAATAAATTTTTACTGGCAATGCGTTTCTTTTTTATTTATTTATTTATTTATTTATTTTTTATTTTATTTATTTATTTTTTTTTAAATCTCTACTGATGAGCCAAGCCCTCTCATTCATTAAATCATATCATTGCAGTAAGGTCTGTAGAGATTTAAAAAAAAAAAAAAAGAAACGCATTGCCAGTAAAAATTTATTTGTGTAAAATTTTAACGATAGAGGGCAATAAAATTTAATTTACTAATATATAATGGTTATGAAAACATGTTTTGCGCGGAAGAGCTTTGCTCGATGCAATACCTTGAAATTTATATGTATGTACCTCTACAGACCTATAAGCTTATGTCCATAGTTCACTAAACACCATTTAGCTGCCTTCCATAGAAAATGCAGGGTATATAACAAAACCAGTCCAATACAATAGTAGAGCGGTCTAGAGATTAATTTGGCGAAACCGCTGAGAGGGTTCACTACTGATGAGCCAAGCCCTCTCATTCATTAAATCATATCATTGCAGTAAGGTCTGTAGAGATTTAAAAAAAAAAAAAAAAAAAAGAAACGCATTGCCAGTAAATTTATTTGTGAATAGTATTTTAATTAAAACATTTTAAAAACACACAGTTTGGAACGGGACGTTTCACAAGAGTGACATCCATGGCGCCAATTTATAATTGTAACGAATAGTATTTGAATTAAAACGTTTTTAAAATATATACGCACTCGGGTAAAACCCAGGCGTTGCCCGGGCCATTGGTCTAGTCCTTTATAAAACCTTCTGACTACATGACCAACATCAACTCTCTTCGACTAGGTGAATCTCCTAACACTAACTGATTGGAAGACAGACTCAAAGAACTAGACCCATTCTTTGACTGACTACACACCCTTTATTTGTCCAGCTAGCAGTTTTTATACAGTTAAAATTTGAATATCTAACACAGTGATTCTCAACCTTTTTTTTTGTTGCGGCATTATTTTAATGTGTCTTCAAGTGTAGCAACATCATCCAGTGTAGCAACCAGATCGTTAATGAAAATAATAAATACGGTGAAAGAGGTTCACCCTGAAGAACACCTGATTGTATTTTGATGAATTCTGTAAAAGAGCCGTTCCATCTGACCGCTGCCATCATTTGAGCATAGTAGTTCTGTATGAGTTTGATAAATCGCCCACTTAAACCAACAAGCGCAAGCTTTCTCCATAATAGTAAATGTGGAACTGTATCAAACGCTTTTTTAAGATCAACAAAGAATGCGTAAAGTTTCCTTCTTTTGCGGTTTAATGTCATCTGGATCAGTGATGTAAGCGTGAAGATATGGTCTTGGCACGAGTAACCCCCTCTGAATCCTGCCTGGTTTTCCACTATGAGTTTTCTATTCTCAATCCAATTACTTAGTCTATTTTTTAATATGGATGTAAAAAGTTTTGACAAGTTGCTTATAAGCGCAATGCCCCTATAATTTGATGGTGCATTCGGATCACCATTTTTGAATATTGGTTGGATTATGGTTTTTGACCACTGTGAAGGAACTTGGGATTTAGTTAATATTTTATTGAATAAGCTAGATAAAAGGATTAAACCATTCTCAGGTAGGGCTTTGATAGCTTCATTTGGTATACTATCGTAACCTGCTGCTTTATTGTTTTTCAAGCTAGCGATTTCCCTCGCAATTTCCAAAGGTGAAATTTCGGCGTCCAGCTCGGAGTCAATAGGAATTAGTAGAGTAGGTATATCAGCAACAATTCTTTGAGGAGGCGAAAATAAACCCTGATAAAAGGATTCCCACTCTGAGATGTCAATATTTCCTTTTGTGCTATTCCGTTTCTTAAAGGACGCAATTATTTTCCAAAATTCGGCAGAGTCCCTAACATTGCTAAGGGCAGCTTGAACAGAATCAGAATATTTGTTCTTTTTGTATTTGAGCAATGATAAGTATTTGCGTTTACTCGTAATAAACAAATCTTTATAAATAGGAGTATTGAGAGTCAAATATAACTTAAGATTTTTTTTCATATATGTTTTTGCTGTATAACATTCTCCGTCAAACCATGGCTTAGACCGCGAACTATCCGCTCTTCCCTTTGTTAGCATTCCTGCTCTCATCATTGATGTTTGAATCCTGCTAGTAAGAGTGTCAGCACATGGTCTATTGAGGCGTCTTCCGGTAGTTGGAGAGCATTTAGGTCTTCGAGACAAAGTTCATATGTCGAAGCTTTATTTATTGACCAGGTAAATTTTTTTACAGGAATATACTCTAGAGGTAGGCTTTTCGCTTTTGTATTGTCTGATCCGTTTAGTTTTAGAAGAAGTGGCAAATGATCGGAGTAAGGCAAACTTTCTATACTTAGGTCAAGAACAAGTTCCAGTAGTGCAGGAGAAACCATGAATAAGTCCAAAACTGAAGACCCCTGATGTGAGATAAAAGTATAGCATCCGTTTTTTTATCACTAATAGATCTTCCGTTTAGTACCTGGCAGGAATTCATAGTTCTTCAAATTAAAGATACTTCGGTCAGTAAATCTTTTATTATCTCGACGTTTCGACAAAAATCTTTTGTCCTCGTCAGGAGCGAACAAAGTTAAAACATTTTGCAAGGCGCTAAAAAATATAAAATATAAAGAATAATTTTTAACGCCTTGCCAAATTATTTTTGTTCGCTCCTGACGAGGACAAAATATTTTTGTCGAAACGTAGAGACAATAAAAGATTTGCGAAGTGTCTTTTATTTGAAGAATTAAGAGAAGTGTCATTTTGAGTTTTGTCTTTTTTAATTTTCTACGTGTAACAAAATGTACATAGGTATATTGTAGTATAAGGTGTATAGAAAATATAGCTTTCAATTATATATATCCTTGCCACTTCCTTTGTCTATAAGTCTGGTTAGTACTTTAAGTTTGGTTTGGCAGACTGTATCTAGATAGGTCAGACCAGCTGAATATTACCCTTGAATTAGAGCCGTTCAATCTACTTATATAATTGCCTTATTCTGTCTGTGTGAAGTTCACGGATAGATTTTGATCAGAATGGATAAAATAAAAAAAAGTGTCAAGGGATGAGAATCGAACCCACGACCTTCCGCTTACCGGGCAGATGCCATGACCACTAGGCTACCCTGGACATATTTTTCCGTTCATAAAGTTAATATATGACTTTACTATGCAGTTTTTCTATTTAGTCAATATACCTAAGTTAATGTTGCGAATGTAATTATCTCTATCGATTTAGTAGGTGAAATGCAAAAAAAAAAAAATCGACATGATGAAATCTTTATGAAAATTCACATTTTTATTTTTATATTTTCAAGACACACACAGTTTGGGGCGGGACGTTTCACAAGAGAGACCTCCACGGCGCCAATTTTTAATTGTAACGAATAGTATTTTAATTAAAACATTTTAAAAACACACAGTTTGGAACGGGACGTTTCACAAGAGTGACATCCATGGCGCCAATTTATAATTGTAACGAATATTATTTGAATTAAAACGTTTTAAAATATATACGCACTCGGGTAAAACCCGGGCGTTGCCCGGGCCATTCGGCTAGTCCTTTATAAAACCTTCTGACTACATGACCAACATCAACTCTCTTCGACTAGGTGAATCTCCTAACACTAACTGATTGGAAGACAGACTCAAAGAACTAGACCCATTCTTTGACTGACTACACACCCTTTATTTGTCCAGCTATCTGTTTTTATACAGTTAAAATTTGAATATCTAACATATTAACACAACTATTTGTAACAACCTATTAACAATTATTACATTAGAAAAACTTTAAACTATATTTACGTAATAGGCGCGAACAATATTAAAAAAAAAATATTACAAAAATTATTTCATAATTTCTATTACTTCACACTCAACTATGATTACATGAAGCTAAAGCTGGAGTCAATTTGTCTCTGAGTCTAGGAAGACAAAGTCGCAATCACCAAACGTTTCAAAATGTAAAACCAGACCAGCAGCTTAACTAAGCAAACAGATGGTAGGGATATGTGCAAATAGGTATGCAATAACATCTATGCAACCTCATCCAATCTAGTCATATTAACTAAACATTTATACCTGGTATGGGGGATCTGTACACATTATTAACAACTGTTTAACTCCGCCGTTCCCAACCCTGGATGAAAAAGGAGGAGGGGGGAGCAGTAACAAGTTCGC